TGTCTCCTCCGTCTCTCTGTGACTCTGCCTTTCAAATAAATAAATAAATCTCTAAAAAGAAAAAGCTTTTTCTATGATCTCACAGTATCAGGTGAAGTTTTATGAATATATAAGGTGAGTTTGTGCTTTTTTTTTTTTTTTTGCTGTGCATTTTTGAGTAACTAAGACTTTTGCCTTGGAGACTCATGGATAAAGCAGTCAAATCTTTCAAAGCGTATGGAATCAAAGGCATATATGAGGATGGCGAAATGAGGTGATACTGTGAACAGCCACTAATCCCTTAAATAAACAGTCCCTCTGAGGAGGAAATGTTCTTCCATATCCTCACCATATACAGGTACTTTTTTTTTTTTTTTTTTTTTTTTTAAGATTTATGTATTTGAAAGGCAGAATTACAGAGAGGTTCACTCCCCAGATGGCTACAATGGCTGGAGCTGCACCAATCTGAAGCCAGGAGCCAGGAGCCACCATGCAGGTGCAGGGGCCCAAGGACTCGGGCCATCTTCTACTGCTTTCCAGGCCAAAGCAGAGAGCTGGGTTGGCAGTGGAGCAGCTGGGACTCGAACCGGCGCCTGTATGGGATGGATGCCAATACTGCAGGTGGAGGCTTTACCTGCTACACCACAGCGCCGGCCCTCTACAAGTATTTTTTGTTGCTGGAACTGCAGATGGCACTCCAGCCAACAAACCTTCCCTCTCTTCATTTTCTAGGAATGCATTTAAAATCATGACTACCAGAGCAATAAATGTTTCCAGTTGCAACAGTTCAAATTACTATCTATGAAGTTTCTGTGTTTTGCTTTGCCTCACAAGGGACGTTTTACTTTCCACAAATCTGTTTCTCTTATCGTACTCCTATGAGCCCACCAAGGTTGTGTTTAAGTGGAAAGAGCCGGCTGGGCAGGAATGGACTGGTCTTCACCGTGAGGAAGGAGGTATCCCCAGGGCCTAGATGCTCCCCGTAAGTGCTCCTTCAATACACAAGGCTCGGCTAGAATTGAAAGCACATGGAATTTTGCCACTATCTGAAAAGTTCTGGTCAAAGTTTTTTTTTTGCCTAAATTATTTAAATAAGTGACATCTTGCAGTAAGGCTAATATTTTTCATTTATTTCTGCTCAGTCTGTGACTTTATACTTTAGCATTTTATATGCCTAGGTGCTCTGACAGTTTTGTCCGGGGTCTTCAACAATCATAGACTTTTAAAAAGATTTGTTTATTTGAAAGCCAGAGTTTATTTGAAAGAGGGGGAGGGGGAGGGGAGGGGGAGGGGGATCTTCCATCCACTGGTTCACTTCCTAAATGGCCACAATGGCCGGAGCTGGGCCAAGCCAAAGCCAAGAGCCTAGAATGCCAAATGGTTCTCTGATGTGGGTGCAGGGGCCCAAACACTTGGGCTGTCATCCGCTGCTTTCCCAGGTGCATTAGCAGGGGCTGGAATGGAAGCCTAGCATCTGGGACTCAGCCCCCAGCAGTCACAAGAAGTTGTGAGTTGGGGAGGGTCCCGTTCTCCCCACCTGTTGATAAGCTTTTCTTGAACCATTATGTTGCCTGCCTTCTGAGACGCACCTGCTCTTGGCTTTTTAAAGTGGGGAGCATCTCACAGTTGTTGTGTGCCTTTGACTTTGCCCTGCCCCCACCATCACAGTTGCCAAGTGGCTGCTGCCCTTCCAAAGGAGGTTGGTTGCAAAGGGAAGGTGACACCTGGGCCTGCTGCGATGTTCAATGGCCAGCGCAGCAGGGAGAGCCCTTGCTGATGGGGCTGGCCTGGTGCAATCAAGGTGGAGTGGCCAGTGTGCGCGGTGTGTGCTTGGAAAGCTGATTAAGGCAGTGCCGACTGCGTGGCACACTGCCATTTACCAACTCATTTCACACTGGGACCATGCTTTCCTGCTTATCTGCCCTGCGGGGCCCAGTGTGTCCTCACTTACCACGTGCTGCAGCGCGCAGGGGTTGAGAGGGGCTGGCAGACAGACAGACAGACCCCGCCTGCAGCTGCCATCCCTGAGACGCAGCGGAGACTGGCTGCTGGCCGTCCTCTCGGAGCAGCCTCTCTGGGTTTGAACGTGGAGGTCTCGCCGTCCACGTTAGAGTCTGTCTCCTTCCCTGGGTCATTCTTGCAGGAGCAGAGTTTCCCACACCACCGGCAGCACTCCCCCCCACCCCAGCACTCCCCATCTTTTCCCATGAAAATCAAAGAAATAGTATTTTCTGTCTAGAATACCTTCTAGAATCTCATGCTTGCTTTGACTCTGAAATAACATGCTCATTTTCATGAGTTTATGGTGGCACTAATCTTTGGCTTATTTTTTTCCTATCAAAACACTCCACTGTTGGTAGTTTTTCTTACATTAAGTTTTTTTTTTAAATGTTAGGATTTCTTGGTTTAATGATCTTGGATTCCAAAGCAGCATATAGGCGTATGCAAAATTGCAATGTGGGGCAGAAATATCACTCAGAAGAAAGGAACTCAGTTTATGACAGAGTTCAGGGATAGCTCTCAAAGACTTGTTTGAGAGGATCTTAATGGTCAGCTTTTAATGACGGATCTTCATGATTAGCTTTTAATTATGGTTTTTTTTAAAAGATTTATTTTATTTATTTGAAAGACAGAATTACAGAGAGAGGTAGAGACAGAGAGAGAGAGAGGTCTTCCATCCGATGTTCACTCCCCAGATGGCCGCTACGGCTGGAGCTGTGCCAATCTGAACCCAGGAGCCAGGAGCTTCTTCTGGGTCTCCCACGTGGGTGCAGGGGCCCAAGGACTTGGGCCGTCTTCTACTGCTTTCCCAGGCCATAGCAGAGAGCTGGATAAGAAGTGGAGCATCCAGGACTAGAACCGGTGCCCATATGGGATGCCAGCACTTCAGGCCAGGGCTTTAACCCGCTGCGCCACAGCTCTGGCCCCTAATTATGGATCTTTATGATTAGCTTTTTCTTTTTTTTTTTTTGATAGGCAGAGTTAGACAGTGAGAGAGAGAGACAGGGAGAAAGGTCTTCCTTTTTCCGTTGGTTCACCCCCCAAGTGGGTGCTATGGCTGGTGCGTTGCGGCTGGCGTGCTGCGCCAATCTGAAGCCAGGAGCCAGGTGCTTCCTCCTGGTCTCCCATGTGGATGCAGAGCCCAAGCACCTGGGCCATCTTCCACTGAACTCCCGGGCCACAGCAGAGAGCTGGACTGGAAGAGGAGCAACCGGGACAGAATCCGGCGCCCTGACCAGGACTAGAACCCGGGGTGCCGTTGCTGCAGGTGGAGGATTAGCCTAGTGAGCCACGGCACTGGCTATGATTAGCTTTTAAAGTGCAGATCCCAAATTAATATCAGGGGTGTAGTTCTTTTTTGTTGTTACAGATTTATTAATTTATTGGAAAGGGAGAATGAGAGGGAGAGGGGGAGGGGGAGATTGATCTTCATCTACTGCTTCAATTCCCAAATGACTGCAACAGCCAAGTCTGGGTCAGGCTAAAGCCAGGAGCCAGAAGCCAGGTCTCTCCTGTACATAGCAGGGACACAAGCACTTGGGCCATCCTCTGCTGCCTCCCAGGCACGATAGCAGGAAGCTGGGTCAGAAGTGGAACAGCAGGGACTTGAACAAGCACTCCAGTGAGGGACGCTGGCTTTGGAAGTCGTAGCTTAACCCGCCTGCACCATGCCAGCCCCAGGGGCCTAGTTCTTGCCACTTTGGCCGTAGCTTTTCCTGGGAGCTCACTCACTCTGTGCCCATCTTCCTTTATTTTCACATCTTGGTGTCTTAGGCAGAGGTTATTTTCGTTTCCATTAAGTGGATGGGGAAGTTGAGATACAAAGTTAATTGCGACTGATAATAATGACAAGTTAGCATGCTGGTTTTATGTGTCCTTCTTTGTGCTAAAAGTGCTTATGCAAACCATCTTCTACAATCTTCACACAGCCTTTTAGCAACTGAATAAATTTGTCCTCATTTGACTCAAGAGGGAAGTGAGGTTTGAAGCAGTTAAAGGTTGTTAGTGCCACATAGAGTTGGAACCAAGTTCTTGGTCTCCAGGAGGAGGGTATTGGGTGGAGGAAGCCTGGAGTGGGATCTTGTGGGCAGAGAATCTGTGGGCAGTGATGGAAGTAGTGTCTAAGGAGATGGGCTGGCTCTGGGGGCGGAGTCAGAGAGGTTCAGGAGCTATCTGGAGCAGCTGGAAGTGCCCGGGGCTCTTTTTGCAGCTGGGTTGGTGCGTGTGAGACTTGTCGCTTCCTGTGGTCCATCGGCTTCGCGTGTTCTGTGACTCTGCCGTCCCTTTGTGATGAGCACACGGTGTGGCCTGCAGCGGTGCTGTGTAGACACCCACTTAGAAGGCCATGGCTTAGGAAAGAAAGTATTGCTCAAAGTCTGTAGGTTTCCTTATTAATGAAATGCGAGATTGGCGTGAGCCTTGGGTCACATCCCCTTCAGAGCCAGCCCCTTGTAATCGGCATGAATTGTTAAAAGTGAGTGAGGTGAATTCCAAGGTTTGAAACTTAAGGTTTGAGTTTGGTGATTTTCTTGCCCCCCTCCTTATCTGTTTTTTGAAATGAAGTTTTTAAAGGCGGTATCCTAGGGGCCAGTGTGGTAGCATAGTGGGTTAAGTACCTGCAGTGCTGGCGTCCCATTTGAGCACTGGTTTGAGTCCTGGCTGCTCTGCTTCTGATCCAGCTCCCTGCTAATGGGTCTGGGAAAGCAGCAGAGGGTGATCCAAGTACTTTGGCCCCTGCCATCCACGTTGAGAGACCTGGATGGAACTTCAGGCTCCTGGTTCCAGCCTGGCTCAGATCTGGCTGTTGTGGCCATTTGGGGAGTGAAGATTCTCTCTCTCTCTGTCTCCCACCTCTTTGCCACTGTGCCTTTCAAATAAATAAGTAAATCTTAAAAAACAAACAAAAAACTACCAACCACCCATATTCTCAACTTGTCTCTTCTAGAATATTAGGTAGGTATTAGGCTTAATTCTTTGTAACAATATTGTCACACTAATACTGTCCCTTTTTTTCCTCCTAGGCCCTGCAGGAGCAGCTAAAGACGTGTAAGTATTTAATATTACGGCTTTATTATCTCTCTTTGTGGGGAAGATGCTGTTTTTCAGGATACGGCCTTTTCAGAGCTGTAGATGTGAAAAGACATGAAATTCCTTGGTGCACTTGCTCGTAGCGAGTTTATCATTTGCTTTTTAACTAAGTGCTCCGTGGAGAATGTAGTTATTTGTGACTTTGCATGTCAGCCTTTCTGTTACCCTGGCATTTCGGCTCAGAATCCCAGAAAGGGGAAAATGTGAATTGTGTCGACGTCCTGGCTTGTGTAGAGATTCCGGCTAAAGGCAGGTGATGGTGGGGGAGTGATTGTGGCACTTGGCTCCTGTGACGATGCAGTGTCGTGCAGTCTGCCAGGGAAGCCAGGCTGGAGCCAGGCATTTCCCCAGGGCACCCTGTGCTCCTTGACCATTGGTGACCAGATGCTCCAGTAAGCACAAGTGACCGTTTGCCGTGGATGGTTTGTCCGTGCCTCCCCAGAGTTCCACGTTGGAAACTTCATGCCCAGATGCCTTTGTTAATGCTCTTTGTGGGTGGGAGCCTTTGGGAAGTCACAGGAGTAGATGAGGTCATGGGGGAGGGTGAAGCTCCACGAGGTGCTGTCCAAGAAAAAGAAGGGAGGACCCGAGCTGGTGCACTTGCTGTCTCACCGTGGGGTCCCTGTGCCGGGTCCTCACCAGGTGCTGAGCGGATGCCAGCGCCATCTTCTTGGACTGCCCAGCTTCCAGAACCATGAGCCACGTGAACTTAGTATTTTTTTTATAAATTGCCTGGTCTCGGGTATTTTGTTAGAGCAATGGAAAGGAGAGGAAGAGAGCATTTGTGTGGTCAGTATGAGCTGGGCTTCGGGCCGCAGGCCACGGAGTGAAGGGTGCCGGCCCACACAAGGTGTCTGGAGCCCAGGATCCTCTGAGTGTTTCCCCTAGGCTCAGTCACTGCGCCCTCTCTTCTGGTCTGGGCTGGTTAGAACGTGGCAGGTAGCTCACAGCTTAAGGGAGTTCGTGATTAGCCGCGAGGGTGGGTGGGATCAACCCTCCCATCCCAGGTTGGGTTGGATGTCGGCTGGTGGCACCCACATGACATCAGGGGGATGGATGGGATTGTGGGTCACTAATGAGGCTTTCTGGAAAGAGCGAGGCGGGCATCCTGGCATCCTGCTCTCTGTCCATTCAGCCTCAGTGATGAAATGTGGGCCAGTCGGCGACTGTGGGGCAGCCGAAGGGCAGAGCAGTGGGCGCTGAAGGAGCTACAAGAAACACAGAGTAGAGAGAGGAGAAGCAGGGATCAGGGGCTCTTGGCATGACAGCGCAGGAGTCCCGAATGCCTCTTGCCCTTCTTTTTTATTGAGCGGCACTGGTTTAATCAGTAATGTACTACGTATGCAGATACAATAGCATCGAAACTCGGCCAACAGTTTTATTAAACTTGTGGGAAAGAAGCAAGGTGTAAACAAAACTATTACAGTTCTCTAAGCAAGAATCTGAGGCTGGGGTCGCCGGGTCTTCGGGTGAACAAGAGGTGGCCTGTCCCACAGATGCCGTTCACAAGGAGAGAGGCCCCAGGCAGCCTTGCACCAGGTTGTCTGTGGTGGCAGCGTTCTGTATCCACTGTCCTGTGTCTGACTTGGAAGGGTCAGGCGTGGGGCAGCCCCACACCATCAAAGTCCTTGAAATTTGTTACTCATTTACAATCTATAAGCAAGCCGATTCTAAACTATACTACATAGCAGTAAAAATCCCTAACAGTTCCCCCTTTTTATTTTTGTGAACATGATCTTTTTGCAATGGATTCTTTTCTTGACTCGGTGAGCCTTAATGCTACCTAGCAAGGTGACTCTGAACTTGTTTTATGTTGTACTGAATCCTTTTAGCAAGACTGGATGGCATGCGTGGCTCCAGTAACAGACACAAAAGGACAGTCAAGACAGGTGTCACAGATGGGAGAAGCCACACTAACCAGGATCCTCTTCAATGCTGCAATTCAGATGATGCTTTGTATTATTCATTTCTTCCCATATTTTATCAATTTCTTTTTGTATCAGATGAGAATTATCAGTAATGTTGAAACAGCACAGACCCAGACATTTTTGACATCTGGTATGTCTTTTAACAACAAATTATCTACAGAAGCTGTGTTTTGTAATACTCCTTTTGGAATTGGCTTACTTCGCTATTAGTATAGGATAAACTGTTGCTGTAGCATTAGCTGCTTTGATAAAATACAAGGCAACTTTCCTAAGGTTTTCTGTGCTCCCACTACCAGTCCTGGTACGGGCAGAGTGAAACCCAGCAGTGGAGGCACTACCGAGTTAAGGCAATCATCACAATCAGAGTAGAGATCGCTATCTCCGGAGTCTGTTCAGTTGAGCTGTTTCCTGAAGAGGAGGCAGCAGTAATGGAACAACCTGCCCCACAGAGCAAAGGCAGTAGAGCTACGTATGAATAATTGCCGTGGAGGAATGCTGTCCTGTAGGTACGGGAACAGCAGAGGAGAAATGAATGTGCGTTATTTTAGAGCTGTTTGACCGCAAGGCATGATCACAGAGAGTCCTGAGACTTTCGTTACGTAAAGTATGTCATGTTATCTGAAGTGAAGATAGAGAGTTGAGGGACAGAAAATGTTGAGGCTCTAGAAGACCAAGTGAGTGGTCTGATGTCCAGTTGTCCTTTGAAAACAGTCAACTGATGAACCTAGGCCATGAAGTTGTTGATTAGGATGTCAGAAGGTGAGGGCCCTTCTCCTGTGCCGGCCTGCAGCACAATGAACTGGGTTTCCTGAAACAGAGTGGGAATGTGGGGACAAGGACGCAAAGAATGGAGCCAAGACAAATGCTGATCAAGGCTCGTTTATTCAACAAGTCCAGTAGTACTTAAACATGACCAGTTGTACACAAGAAGGCACACAGAGGATTTACATATCTAAAAGACTTTTGGGGTTACAAAGAGTTCCCGATAAAGTTCTTCCGCTTAACAGATCACAAAATGTTATCAATCATAGATTACAAGGGTATAATAAAACACCTAGGTAATAAATGCTGGTTTCAGGTGTGACTGATTATCTACATCCTCTCTTGTGAGAAGTCTAGCAGTGAGATATCCTCTCTTGTGAGAGGTTTAGCAGTGAGATACGGCTCTTCCTGCCTCTTCCTGGAATCTCCTTAGCTTATTGTCTGTGCCGGGATGTCTCCATCCATATGTTTGAGTGTAAACAAAAGGGGCGACTGCCTGTGGCTGCCCACATTCTCCCATACAAAGGAAGTTTGATTTAACACATTTGAAGCCATATGTAACCAAAAGTTTGTATTTGGACCTAGAGCATTTAAATTAATCTGTACTTTTATGGTAATATTTACTTAAGCGTATGTGGGATTTTGAGGTGGATATGTTGACAGATCCAATTGGTCTTTGACACCACTGTAATGCCCACTGTCTTTTAGAGTAACTCGAGTTTTCCAATTGAGAAATCATTAGCACCCCATTTCCATAATTGCAGACTGGTCAAATTGTACCAGTCAGCTTCCTGATGTGTGGGGTAGGTAGCATACAACACCTGTCCATCCTTATATCAGCAAACATGCCTGAGTACAGAATCAACACAAGACAGTTTACATGACAGCAATGAGGAGTCCCCTTCCCCTGCGGTTCCAGTCGGATTATCAGTAATCTAAAGACAAGGAGAAGCAGTATGTACAGTGGTTAGCATTGCTAAAAACAATGTACTTGCATTGCGGTTGTTGTCTGCAGCTCGTGTCTGACTTTCTAGCTGTCCCCATTAGGTGGGGCTGCCTTCAGTGTTGGCCCCTTTCTCCTGAGGGTCAGATGGCTGAACTTCTTCAAGAGGCTGGATGTTTTCATTGATGTCAAATCTCATCTTGACCATTTCGAAGCTTAATCGTATGTGCTCGAAGCCACTTGTAACCACACCCTACTGAGACATAAGCATACCCTCGTCCCCAGGTTACACCTCCTCCAGATTTCCATTGTCCTGTATGTAAATCCTTCTGTCATGCTGGCTGTGGAGTTACTTTATCCAAAGTAGAGGGCCATTGCCTTTCTGCGGTGGTTAGACTTGTTTCATCAATGTCTAAAAAACTTATGCTGGGCTGGTGCCACAGCTCCCTAGGCTAATCCTCCACCTTGCGGCGCCAGCACACCGGTTCTAGTCCCGGTCGGGGCGCCGGATTCTGTCCCGGTTGCCCCTCTTCCAGGCCAGCTCTCTGCTGTGGCCAGGGAGTGCAGTGGAGGATGGCCCAAGTGCTTGGGTCCTGCACCCCATGGGAGACCAGGAGAAGCACCTGGCTCCTGCCATCGGATCAGCGTGGTGCGCTGGCCGCAGCGCGCCGGCCACGGCGGCCATTGGAGGGTGAACCAATGGCAAAAGGAAGACCTTTCTCTCTGTCTCTCTCTCTCACTGTCCACTCTGCCTGTCAAAGAAAAGAAAAGAAAAAGAAAAAGCAAAAAAACTTATGGTGTAAAGGACTTGGGATAACTGCATGTGGGGACTGGTGTATTCTCTCTTTTTGTTTAAGCAACTGATGTTTCAGAATAAGATGTGTTCGTGCAACAGTGGCCTGCCCTTGAGGGTTATATGGAATACCAGTAGCATGTTTGATATTCTGAGAGGCAAAAAAGTTTTCTATTTTTGGCTAAGATAAGAAGGCCCATTATCTGTCTTAACATATGAGGTCTACCAAAAACCGAACACGCAGATAGTAAATGAGCAATGACATGTTGTGAGGTTTTACCTGTAGAAGCTGTAGCCCAAATAAATCTGGGAATGTGTCCATGGAGACGTGAAAAACATCTGATTTACCAAAGATGAAACAAGGGTGACATCGATTTGCCATAACTCGTTAGGCTGTAAACCACGAGGATTAACACCGCAGAGAAAGGAGGAAAGGTCATCCGTGAGCAAGAGGGACACTGAGAAAGAATCCCTCAGCCTGAGCACGAGAAATAGGAAGTGATTCTACAAGACCATTAGCATTAACTTGAGT